AGGAAGACTCACGATCAACTGTAAAAATTTATATAAGAGAGTAGCTTTTTTCCTGAACTCAGGAATCCATTAGCTAATTATTTACCGATGCTCAGCTCTATGTGTCTTTTCCAGCTTCTCGAGTCTCACTGTTTCCCTGTCTCGCTTTCGCGTTACTGCTCCCAAGAAATAGAGATTAAAAAAGGGAAATTCCGCTATCCACTGGGAAAACCGAACTTCCTGCGAAGGAAAGTCTCGGCGGCGAACGGGACGCGCGACGACGCGCGTTCTCGTCGTCGCCCTCCCGCCCCGGCCGTCTCGCCCCAAGGCGTGAGGGAACCCCGATCGGCTGCCGAGGGAGGTTCGGCGGGGTCGGGGGTCACGGGCGATGGGCCCTGGTCAGAATATCGTAGTCTGAAGGATGTTTTCCTCGCGGAACGATGCACGACTGCTGTTTTTCAAATTATTATTTCAAGTTCTAATATGGAAAGCTGTTTCGCGAATTTGGGAGAAATTTGTCGCGGTGAGATGAAAAAATCTCAAGTGTGCAAGTCTTCATTTTCCAAGCGTTTTCCTTGTTGATGGGTCATCAAAAGGAAGCAAAAAAAAAGTGCACAAAAGAAAAGGTGGCAATTTACCGCCCTTTTCCTCCCCGAATCCCTCATCGAAGGCACGATCTCTCTTTACTCTCACAAAGAGATGCGTCTGGAGTCCACTGCTCGCCTCAGTGGAGTCCACTAAGGCGATCAGTGGACTTCAGAAGACTGCGCAGCTGTCGGCCGTTGCTCAACGAGGGTTCAGAGTTCTGAGAGATGGACGTCGCATTTCTCGAAAGGAAATCAGGGAAACAGGAATCGCTCTTTGGTGATGGTTTGGAGACGGAATAATGCTGGTGTTCCATGGTCAGTGGTGCTGCTATTTAGATGAACCTTTAAAGCACCAAGTTTAAAGTACCAGGCTTCTGGTCCCTTCAAGGCCCGAATTTAAATGACCTTGTGAGCCCCTATTTGTCCATATCGTCGATGCAAAATAATGTCAACATTTTTCCAGACATAATTTTGAAGAAAAAAAACCTGTATCGTGAAGAAATGCCAATTTTATTGCGTGACCAATCCCCATAATTTTACCGAAAATAAGTGCATAATATTTAGACGACGACACAATCTACACAACTGAGACGAATACAGCAAAGGTTCTCTGCACTCTTTTATGGGTATAACCACCATCCTCACATAGCGACCTAACAACGGAGAACGAAATATCGAAATGTGCCGTTAACAAAACAAATTCAGAGTCTTTAAACAACACATAAGTAAAAAAAAAAAATTCCAGCATCCAAAGAAGCGGGAACAAAGGCGACAGACATCCTCGCTGTTGCATCGCCTCACACGTGCAGCGAGTGCCTGTACGTGCCATACTGAACGGCCAAGAAGGCTAGCTTCACTGACTGAGGCTTGTACGACACATTCTTACCTATCAAGTTTGAACAGGCATAGAACGTGATACAATGCGTCAATTTTCTTTAAATTTGGCTCATACCTTCTTTCCTCTGTCTACATGTTGTTTAACCCAGTCGATCTGATAAAAATTTTACTGTCATTAATGGGGAAAATTAATTGGTAGTTTTTTTTTTTAACCCCATGTAGTAAGACTTCTACAAAGGGAAACTTTGATCATGACTGGCATAACCATTCTCGTTTTCAATTCTGTTGAATGTTTCCACACGCCTTGTTCGGACTGAGCCCTTCCGCTACCGTCGTCAACAGGTATATCAGTGATAATCACTTTGGCAAATCTAGATTCATATCACAACGACCATGGCCAGAAAATTCGACCGGGAGGAATACGAAACCGTGAAGAAAACCATCTACGCGGAAGCCCGAGGAGAACCGCTGGAAGGCCAAAAAGCTGTAGCCTGGGTCATTCGGAACCGCGCTGATGCCGACAAAGCAAAAGGGGAAAAAGGTCGCTTGAATGATGTCTGCCGAAAACATAAACAATTCTCATGTTGGAACGGGAAATCGGACATTCTGATCCAAGAAAAGGAGGCATATGCCAGCATCGACAAATGGCTGCCCGATGTCCTCGGGGCACCCAAAAGCGAAGACCCTACCGGTGGCAGTGACCACTACAACAACCCGGACAAGGAAGGTTACCCATTCTGGACCCAAAATTGCTCAAAAACTATTAAGATCGGCAACCACCAATTCTACAAGTCCAATTGTTAATGCCTTTGCTGCCTGTTTGTTCAGTTCGGGTGTGGTCACTAACGACTTCGCGTAATAATGCCTCACTTTAGTACACTACTCATCTGCTTTTTTATTCCTTATCTTAGCCGTAGTGCCTACTTTTCAACCTTGCTGTTACTCCTTCCCTTTTTCTTTCCTTCCAGATGTCAATAAAATATTCAGCTTGCTGCCATTGATCGATAAAAGTCACTCATTTTATCTCTCCGGAGGAGAGCCGTTTCGTATGGCACGTAGACACTCACTGCCTGCACGTATACGAGAATGTCCAGTGCATTTTCTTAACCTCCAAGTTTTTTAACTGTGTAGCACGTGACAAATTAGGTCAATATCCTTCAAAATTTATCAGAAACCTTCTTTCATCTATCAACATGTAGTTTCTGAAATATTGAGCCTATTGGGTGACATTTACTATTAAAAAAAATAAACGAATTGACAGTTTTTTTCGAAACGCAGTGTAGGGTAAAATACCCAGTGACAGACCGGTCCCCGATGATGGGCCACAACAAATAAAAATTCCAACAGCTGAGCTCCCTTTGCACGCCATCCCTGTTGTGACACATGTTAGCAGCGTGCAAGCACATACGCACTTTCGAGGTGTTCATGCAACAAATGCCCCCTTTTTTTAAAATTTTCCTGGCTCATCGAGGCTCATCACTGAGTACCCGCCCTTAAGAGGCCCATCACTGGATCTTTCACCCTACATCATTCTCGGTCTGTGATCCCTCCTGTCTGGCATCCTCTTCCTTTTAAACTTCAAAGTGTCGATGTGGAATACATTCCGCGCTATAAATATTCCCGAACGGTCCAACGAGGAGCGTATTCCACGCCAAAAAAGCAGGGAGTAACTTGGTCCGTTGTGTTCGTGCTTGGCTTGGCTCCCAAACAAATGACATATGGTGGATTGCGTGAAACTAATGCCAGCATTAGCCTATAGCTGTATCAGCTTAAGAAGCTTGAAAGTGAGGCATTGCACAAAGAAATTTAAAGTTACATTAGCTAACTGACATTAGCGCTTCCTAATGTGCATTAGCGACTCCGATGACGTATATCAGGGACCCGCAAGAATGTCGTCCGCTTCGGCAGTGTTCCAAAATTATTATTTTTTCTTCTAATCAATGCCCGCAAAAGGACGAGGGTGTGTCAAAAAGTAATAGGACATCTGCGATCGTAACGTAGGAAATAGAAGAAGCAACGCACATAGTACTGCTTGTTAGAATATCAGCGCCACGAAAACGGTGGTCCTTGGCTTTGCTGTCTTCTCGTGTGCCTCCTACAATGACGAAAAATGACGACTGTGGGTCTTGATTCCACCAAGGAAGAGGATCATACGGATGATACGGCTGCAAGGAACAGCTTTTACCTGCATTGAAAAAAAAGGGCAATACATCGTCAGAAGAGAATCCAAATCCCATTGTGATACGTAATAGACGTTTGGGCAGTGGCTGCACACTGAAGACCGGGTGGATCTAGGTCCACCCGGTCCACTGACGAAGTACGGTGTTTTGAAAATCGATCAATGCTACCTTTTCCATCTTTGAGGAGTAGAAACCCAGTCTTTATGTTCATTGCACTTACCAATTTGAGATTAATTTCCCATGCAGTTGGCCCCAGGGTCTATATGACGTGAGATCTTCGACTGCCCTGTCAAATCTAGTTATATTTACCATGTCTCTGGCCACCACAGACGGCCACCATGTTGGATCGGTGAAGCCCTCCGTCATTGGTGGGAGGGAATTGCAAAGCTGCAGGCAAGACCCGCTTGTGTTTGCTCCAAGTGCGGGGGACGTTATGAGTCTCATCCCAATTGGTTCCTACAGGATGTTCTCCACCAATCAGAGCGTGACTTACATACAAGCCTTTTTGGATTTCGAACCGAGGGAAAAGTGGAAGCAAGCACTTGCAGGGACTTGCTAGTGCGAAGCAAGTGGTGTATACAAGAGGAAAGTCTCTTTGCAAGTGCTTGCTAGCAAGAACTTGCCGCGTGTATCAGGGCCTTAACTTTAGACTTACTCAAGGCGTAAACATGATAGCCCTAAAGATTGAATCAGGTCAAGCCTGACATAACATAGGCCTATCGAGTCACTGGAACAAGAACTTGAACAAGCCTTCGGGAACTATGAGAAGATAAAAATCGACCCCCCTCCCCCTCGGATCGAAATTACGTTTAATATTTGTTGTAGGGGACGTCGAGAAGGGACCTTGGGGTCGTTTGCAGGCTCTCTCGGGTCACGACCGGTGCCATGAACTGAGGTTAAAGGTTACGATTTGCATGCCTCTCTTTGGAAATCTGTATCTTCCCAACCATTAGTCGGAAAAACGTCAAATATCGAATATCGAAATGTGCCGTTAACAAAACAAATTCAGAGTCTTTAAACAACACATAAGTCCAAAAAAAAAAATTCCAGCATCCAAAGAAGCGGGAACAAAGGCGACAGACATCCTCGCTGTTGCATCGCCTCACACGTGCAGCGAGTGCCTGTACGTGCCATACTGAACGGTCAAGGAGGCTAGCTTCACTGACTGAGGCTTGTACGACACATTCTTACCTATCAAGTTTGAACAGGCATAGAACGTGATACATTGCGTCAATTTTCTTTAAATTTGGCTCATACCTTCTTTCCTCTGTCTACATGTTGTTTAACCCAGTCGATCTGATAAAAATTTTACTGTCATTAATGGGGAAAATTAATTGGTAGTTTTTTTTTAAACCCCATGTAGTAAGACTTCTACAAAGGGAAACTTTGATCATGACTGGCATAACCATTCTCGTTTTCAATTCTGTTGAATGTTTCCACACGCCTTGTTCGGACTGAGCCCTTCCGCTACCGTCGTCTCGGAGAGAAGGGAGCGAGGGAGCAAGTTCACCTTTTTGGTTTGAACGTACGCCGTCGATGCCTCATTGACAATGAAGAGAACGATCCACTTCTGCCCCTTTTGTACACTGTATCGATGAATCTTGTATCAATGAATCCCCCCCCCCCCCAAACGTTTGAGAAGTTGAAGTTCGTCATAACTAAATGGCACATCCTCCGAAGAGGTAAGTTGAGTAAATTTTATTGATCAAGGCAGCGAGCTGAATATTTAATTGACATCATGATGGAAAGAAAAGGGTTGGAACGAGTAACAGAGCAGGTTGAAAACGAAGAACTCCAGCTAAGATTACGATTAGAAGAACAGATGAGTAAAGCGAGGCATTATTAGGCGAAGTTGTTGCTAGTGACTACACCCAAACTGAAAGAAGACGAAGCAAAGGCATTAACAATTGGACTTGTAGAAATGGTGCTTGCCGATTTCCCTTATAAATTTGCAATTTTTGACCCAAGCTGGGCCTGCCTTGCCCGGCTTTGGGCCTTCTATTTCCGGGTTGTTGTAGTGGTCACAGCCACCAGTCGGATCTTGACTTTTGGGTGCCTTGAGGACACCAGGCAGCCATTCGTCGATCTCTTGCCATTTTTTATAGGCACCATACTCGTTGGGGTCGGGCTGAATGTCTGATATCCCGTTCCAACATTCGAATTGTCCAGGTTTTTTGCAGACATCATCCAAGCGACTTCCTCCCCAGTACGATCTATTGGCATCCGCGCGGTTCCGAATGACCCAGGCCACCCATATTTGGCCTTCCAGCGGTTCTCCTCGGGCTTCCGCGTAGATGGTTTTCTTCACGATTTCGTATTCCCTCTTCTCGTTTTTTCTGGGCATGGTGGTGGTGATATGAAAGTAGCTTTAGAAAGGAACACACTTCAACGCTTTCAAAGCGATTATCACTGAAATACCTGTGAATAGACAGGAGAATCATTGAAACGCAAACGTCCTATCTATTGTTGGTGGTACGTGAACTGCTCCTAGACTAGGGTCTAAATGCTTCAGGCAAATGAAACTGTACTGCTGCACCAGTTGAGAAATTCTCACTTCCGAGTCCATTCAGTCCACCTTCTGACGACTTTACTTCTCGTTCCCGTAATTTTATAGTTCTGCATGTTCTGATCGGTACGCCGCGTCCAGCACGGGGACGGAAGGTTTGGATGGGAAGTTGGATAAAGTCGGTGCAGGTTCAACACGTCATCAGCCCAAACAGCGTGTTTATGTTCATTTTACGTAAAATGAATGTAAACTTTTTGTCCATTTTATATCATTTTTACACAAACCATTGTCAAGAAAATGTCAACATGTTAGCATGTCACCTCTGTGATACGTAAACGTTGATATAAAATTAACGTAAAATTGACATTCCCGTTTGCATTCCAAAAAGCATATTTACATTAATTTTACATAAGATTTATGTTAATTTTCCCCTGGCATTCATGCGTATTTAACGAGGCAACCAGTACCATTGAAGAGAATTGACATACTGAGTATCCTATTCCTTTACGAACTTCAGAACTCTAGGGAGGTTGGACGCGTACACGAGTACTCACCCTCACCAGCACTCAAGGGTACCAAAGAGACCTACTGCTTCCTCCTCCCGTACCGGAACCTCGAAAAGAGAAGATGTTTAAAGGAGCTCTCTTACCTATTAGAATAAAGAAAATGTAGTACATGTGGGGCTGGGATTCTACTTTTCCCTAATCCCGTGCACTGCTGTAATAAAAAGCTGAACTGCAGCTATTAATGATTCCCTGAGTCATATATTATGAAAATATATATAATAATTTCTTGTTTTCCATATATATATTCATGGATTGTATAATAAAAAAGTATAAGGATGGTGAGAAAATCTGATACTAGATCAGGGAAACCAGTACTTAATACATTGTTTGCAAAAAATTGATATCTTGTTTACGTGAACATGCTGCTTGGGAGTCTTTCCATCAAGTCTTTCATAGGTACTTTTGCGATGTAACCCTTAATTCATGTTATTGAATCCCAATCGATGTGAATGAATCTCTCACGGAAGAACCTACAGCATCAGTTACCTAGCAAATATGATGGTATGGTGGCACACACCTTCTGTCGGTATGACAAAATTTTTTGTTTCTTCCGAAAGTCTTCAAAACCTAATTTTGCGACATAGTCCTAAATTTTCGGTAGTAAACTCCAATCGATTTGAAATGGGTGGTTGAAGTCCCCAGGTTCCAAGCGCGAAATTGAAGGTACATGAAAGAAAAAGTTTAAAACAAATAATTTTCGGGTGGGAATTTCCCAAGATTGCAGATGGCGTCGACTTTATCGTCGTCAAATACATGTACAACTCTTTTAAATTACCCCTTATAAGACGACTGCGATACAAAAACCGCACTTTACCACTCAATATCTCAAACTACAGTAGATGACATGAAACTGAAATTGTGTAGGAGTGTTATGGGGACCTTGCGCTCAAATATGCCATAGTTATCACAAGTAATCAGAGGTACCACTGTGACTTCCTGTCTCACTATTCACAGCAACTGTTCAATATGTGCTTCTTCAGTGCCTAGAATGGTTAACGAAAAAGTTTTTTTCAGACGAACTGCAATGTGTCGGTACTGTTCATCTCCGTATTTGCGAGACTATTGAAACAAGTTCTAATGGTACGCAGCACACACCTACAAAATCCATATCTCTGCATTCAGAAACCAGAATGCGGTTGCATGGACATGCTGTGAGGTTTTTCAACCGAGTCAGGAATGGATAGGGTTTCGATTCCCAGATACGTGAATCATGTCGTCGTGCAGAATGCGTGAATCAGCAAGACCTCACTTCGAGGTCATAATAATTCACACAAGAGGCATCAATAATCTAACCACGCCGGCAATGATTTCGCAGATGGATGCATTGATCTAAGAAATCAGGACTCATACTGCACCAACTTTCACTCATGGTCTAGACGAGTCACGCCAAGATTCACTGCATAGTGAAGTAAAAATCTACTTTCCGAGCAGGATCGATGGATAAAAAGAAGTAAAGAGCAACACTTGCACACATTCCAAGGGAAACCTAGCCTTCAACCCCACTCTCGGGTTTTCCGCCTCCAAAGGATGAATTGAAACCAGGGGCGAAAGGCAAGTCGAGGCAAAGGCACAAAGCCCTGAACTGAAAACAAGTCGTACACGCAGAACCAGACTGAGTTGAGGACTGAGTCAACATGATGCAGGATCGTACAACCCCCCCGCCGCCACTGGAAATACGAAGGCCGCGTGTAGAAGGGATGTTCGTGATGTTCAAAAGATGAATAGATTCATCTTACCTCAAAAGGCTTAAATGCGGATCATTTAAGCGGAGCAGAATCCCACTGTTATCATGTCTATCACTGTGATTGCTTCTGCAGGCGTAGTACTGGCTCTTAATTCTGTTCAAATTCACAGTCTCTCCCCCCCCCCAAATGTCAAATGCATTAGACTCCCTTCAGCGAGAATGATGAAGAACATTGATTTAAGACAACTGGATTCAGGGAAGCGTTTATGACGCCCAATGTTTATGAGGTAGGCCTGTGACTACATAAGCAAAAATACCGACAGGAACACAACATCACTGGATGATGTCAACAGGTACTTTGCATTTATATTGAGTGAAGCAGACGTTCTTCATGCACTTGGAATATCGACGAGGAAAAATATGGGAATGCCGATATTTATCTGATCAGTAAATATCGACCCGATAACCGAAAAAGATATATCATTACATCTCTAAGAAAAAAATTAATTACATCTTTTCACGTTTAGAGAGAGTTGACAGAATGGAAGTTTCAAATAGGCCTAGAAACAAGAATGGTGTACCAAAAAATATGCCTACCTGTGGAGTCTGGACAATTTTCAACACAAATGACACATCTGTCTCTAATTCTCCGTTATATTTACTTCCTAGGTTTTACCATAGAAAAAGGGCACTTGAACTTAATACCATAGAAACTGAATGGGTCCGATGGGAAGCTACTAACTCAATAAACCTCAATGGAAATAGGTATCAATTCAATTATTCTAGACTTTCTGCTTGTATTCTCGATTGTATGAAGGCAACAAACTGGTTGAACACAGCATTAAATAAAATACACAAAAAAATGATTATTTTGATGCTGATGATTCCCAAAGTCTCATGAGAAGCAATAGGCCTATCTCAAATGAAAATAGTTGGGGTTTATTGCAGAAGTCTGTCAGCTGGACTACCCTTAATCCAGCTAATAATATCAACGTGTCCATGAATGGATCGGAGACCTCTTCCTGTTAAACTGCTGGTAGGGTGATCCCCAGGACATGTGAAAGACGCCTAAGATGCATATCGGTCGAGGCCTATCCACAACGAAAGTAATTGATTCTACAAGGAGGCATGTAGGTCTACCCATTGCGTCTCTACGGAATGGACTTAACCCTAAACTCGACAGTTTCCTAAGGATTGCGCATTTTTCAGCACGGAGTAGGAGGCTGGGGCAACAAAGTGAAGGCAGTTCAGGACAGAGTACTAAGACCGGCAAGGCGGAAGTTTAAGTGTCCCCCACGTGGGAAAAGCCGTGACAACATATACCCCTGCCATCTACGTTTCTACCCAAGATCCACGTCGAATCGACGTATCTTTGCCATTTGGGACATTGGCACTTTTCAGATTGATAAGGAAGAGGATGTCAGACAGAAGGGATCAGTGACTGAGAATGAGGCATCACGAAGGGAACTTTGATCTTGACTGAATTTAGACTATTCTCTGGGTTTTTTTTTTTTGGTTTTGGCAATGTGCCTCGTGTGGACTCTGCCCTTCCGTTGCTGTCGCGTCGGAGAGAAGCCGTCAGTGTGGGAAAGAGTTCATCTTTTAAATTGAATGAATGTCGTCATTGTCTTATCGAAAATAAAGATAATGAACCACTTTTGCCCCTTTTGTCACACCGCATCGGGTATCAATGCGGACCCCCCCCCCCCCCCCGTCCCAAATGTTTGAAAAGTCGAAATTCATTACCAAATGGCACAACCTCCGAAGAGGTGAGTTGAGTCAATTTAATCGATCAAGGCAGGTAGCTGAATATTTTATTCACACGGTGGAAAGAAAAGGATAGGAACGAGTAACAGAGCAAGGTTGAAAACAAAGCACCGCTGCCAAAATTACGAACTTAAGCGTATACTAAAGCGAGGTATTATTAGGCGAAGTTGTTGTTTGTAACTACGCCTGGACTAAAAGAGCAGGCAGCCTGTAGAATTGGGATCATAGTTGGAATTATTGAACCTGTAAAATTGGTGGTTGCCGATCTTCACAGTTTTGGAGCAATTATTGGTCCAGTCTGGGTAGCCTTCCTTGTCCGGGTTGTCGTAGTGGTCACTGCCATGAGTCGGGTCTTCCCTTTTGTGTGCCTTGAGGACATCGATCAGCCATCCATTCCACATCTTGTCATATTCCGGACCAGGGTAATCAGGTAGAGGTTCCCTGTATTCGGGGTCCCAACATTCGAATTGCCATATACCATTTTTATTGCAGAGGCAGACATTTTCCAAGTCACAATATCCCCATTCCTCTCTGTTGGCAGCCGCGCGGTTCCGAATGACCCAGGCCACAGCTTTTTGACCTTCCAGCGGTTCTCCTCTGGCTTCAGCGTATATGGTTTTCAACAGGATTTCGATATCTCTTTCCGTGTATTTTCCAAGGATGAGATAAGGATCAAAGGGCATGGCATCCAATGCCATGGCAGCCATGATAGCAACACGCTACAACGCTTTCCGCAGTGATTTTCACTGAAATACCTGTGAATAGACAGGAGAATCATTGAAATGCAAACGTTCTATTTATTGTTGTTATGTGAACTGCCACTGAACTAGGGTCTGAATGCTGTAACCCTCATCCCGGTAAGAGGAGTCCATTGGACTCCCTAATGCATTTTTTATAGTGTAGTGCTTGGGCCAGGATGGTACTTTGCCTAGCACCGTGGGTAGCACTATTTTCCGAGCAGGATCGATGGACCAGAAAAAAAAAAAACTACTCAGGAGGCGTTGACAAAATCCAAGCCTCTTCGACCCTCGATTAACAATAAATTGTAAACAGAATATGGGGGGGTTTGCGACGGGCAAGTCGAGTCGCAGGCACACAGTATTTTTGCTTGTATAAGCGTAGTTTGGCTAGAAGTTAGGCCCCTCTGAACTCCATATCCTACACACAGCGCAAGTCGGTCTGGTTACAAATACGTCACAGTGTAGAAACCTTACCTGCTTTTGTTTTTTTCTCCAATTAGGTTATATTACCGTCTTCTGAAGTGGTGCTTGGCAAAGAAATCATTCAGGGGTGGTCCTATTATCATTGACACGGTAAAAATTCCTTTCTGACAGCTCATGGATTCCCGAGATTCACCTGATGAAAGTTCAAATCGGTAACCTCACTAACCTCTTGGTCGAAACACCATATGAGACTCATTCTAAGTGGATATCAAGCATGGTTTGCTTACCGTGCATGGAAGCACCCAATTGCCCTGAACTTTCCCCCTGAAAACTCCTGGGGAGTTTTCGTAGGAAAGAGTCCAGGAAAAATAAAGATATTGACTAGTAAGTAGTGAAAAGTGACCATTTGTTGTTGTGGCGCACCATTTCGCCATTAAAAAAAAAATAAATCAGCTTTCGTACATTTGGGCTTAGAGTGATGGCTTCGTCCGTCCCCAATGTCGCCGGATATCATGCAAGGGTTATGTCAAACTCATAACTCCTTAGTTATGAATCCTGAGTCTCGGTGTCTGGATCTTCTCTTTTTAAATGTATGATACATTTTCTTGCACTAACTTTATGAGATGCGATGAGACTGGAACAGTGGTTAGCAGTGGCCGATCGTGGTGGGAAATGGAGATGTTGTCTCTGGACATCCCTGAATTAACACGATGGCGCCTAGGTTGTATGTCAGATGTCATGCTGCTT